AAAGTGAAAGGCATCCGCTTTCAAACACCGTTTACCAACATAAGGATCCACTGGGAATCAGGAACTCGCACATATTCCAGCGCTCGGGAAGCCTACAACGAGCTGAAGAGACGCGGAATCCAGGCGGAGGAACCGGCGACAGCTGACGGTGTTTCCAGAGCGGAGTGGAGGCTCCGGGAGCTGCTGGGCTGGCAGCCGGTGGATAACAGCGGCGCTGCGGTGGCGCGAGAGCCAAGAACAAACTACAGGATTTCCAGCGGAGCATGATCGAGTGAAAATAGGCAGAATAACATGACATAATGCAGCATTATTTTGACTAGGCTCTGTTTTAGTACTTCGTGGGAGAGGACACTGTTTATTTTTTTCTACGTTGGACTAATAGGATGGACGTGTTTTTTCCTAAAGGCGCTTCTACTGTCCTTTTTGGGCCCTCTCAGTTTGAGAGGTTTAACCCTCGACTTGCCAACGGGGTCATGAGCGAGAAGAAGGAGCTTCTCCTCACCTTGGAAGTCAGTTTGTTACTGTTCTGTTTTGTTACTGTTCGTGTTTTGGATTCAGGGGCCAAATCAGTCAAGGTATTTATGTACATTACTGTCATATAATTTAAAAATTGCTTCCTTGAACGTAAACGGTTTGAATAGTCCAGTGAAAAGAAAAAGGGTCTTAGCCAAATTGAAGAAAGATGGGATACAAATTGCTCTTTTACAAGAGACACATATGTCTAAACAAGAACATGACAAATTTAAGTCATTTGGTTACTTAAACACGTTTTATAGCTCTTGTAGAAACAGTAGAAAGAGGGGGGTAATCACCCTGATTTCTAATTCACTGAACTTTGAATTGATATCTGAGAAGGGAGATAAAGAGGGCAGATTTGTTATTATAAAGGGGAGAATTGATAATGTTGTGGTCACGATAGTTAATGTATATGTACCACCAGAGAGCGACAGGACTTTCTTAAAAACGTTCTTTGACACCATTATCTCACTTAGTGAAGGAGTTCTTATTTGTGCTGGAGACTGGAACACAATCCCTAATTATGCTCTAGATACGACAAGCCATAAGAAACAAAAAACTGGTAGGTCAAAAGACCTAAATATCCTGATCAGGGAGATGGGCCTGTTTGACGTCTGGAGGGGTCTCCATATTAAAGAAAGAGAATTTACTCATTACTCTTCTACCCACAAAGTCCACTCCAGGATTGACCTGTTTCTGATGAACACCACTGATAGATCTAAAGTGAAGGAATGCTTAATTGGAACATCTGATATTTCGGATCACAATATTATCTATTTGTCCATCTGTCTGACTAGTAGGCCTAAAACAACATTATGGCGCTTAAATATAGGTATTCTTAATAATGAATCCACAACAAAGGAGATTAGAAAAGAAATAACGGAATGTGTAAAAGACAATAATAATGGGCAGGTAAATCCCACCTTAGTCTGGGACACGGTCAAGGCAGTAATGAGAGGGAGACTAATTTCTAGAACTGCTTACCTTAAAAAAATAAAAAGGTTAAAATACGATGAACTGGAAAAAACATTGAGGAACTTAGAACTAAAACAGCAAATGACTAACAATGGAGAATTTTCGGAACAAATAACAAAAACTAAAAACAAAATAAACGATATGATACTCGAGGAACTTGAGGAAAAATTAAGATTCTGCAAACAAACATTCTACGAATCAGGCCCAAAAGCTACCCGGATCTTAGCCAGACAACTTCGTAAACACCATTTGAAGCATTCGATTACCAAAATTAGAGAATCCTCTGATGGTAATTTAACCTATGACATGGATAAAATACATAAGACCTTTGAAAATTATTTTAAAACACTATATTCTGCCCCAAGATCAGTTAACATAACTGCTATTGATAATTATTTGGCAGCTTTGGATCTACCTTCACTAGGTCTAATCCAAAATAAAACTCTAACTGCCCCCATCACACAGGAAGAATTAGATACAGTTATTGGACATTTGAAAAGTAATAAGTGCCCAGGTAGCGATGGGTTTCCAAATGAATGGTACAAGACGTTCAGGAAGGAGCTATCTCCTGTCCTGCTTGAATCTTTGAACTGGACATTGCACAGAGCTGAGATCCCACCATCTTGGAGAGAGGCTGTAATATCTGTCCTCCCTAAAGAAGGGACAATTGTTGAATACTGTGAATCATATCGCCCAATCTCAATTCTGAATGTCGACTATAAAATTTTTACATCAATAATTTCTCGGAGAATGGAGTATTATTTTTTAGACCTAATACATGAAGACCAGACGGGATTCATCAAAGGCCGACAAACCCATGACAGCATAAGACGAACATTGCATATATTAGACCAAGCTAAAAAGCAGGGCCTCAGCGCTGCATTAATTAGTTTAGATGCAGAAAAAGCCTTTGATAGGGTCAACTGGACTTTTCTATATAAGGTACTAGAGCGTCTGGGCTTTAATAACCAATTTATTAGGTGCTTGCAATCACTTTATGATGAACCACGGGCCAGGGTAAAAATCAACGGGCACCTAACAAACAGCTTCCAACTACACAGAGGAACCCGCCAGGGATGTTGTCTAAGCCCATCGCTTTTTGCAATATTCATTGAACCCTTGGCACAGGCCAT